AGGCTGACCATCATGGGGCATGGAGGCTGACCATCATGGAATCTACAGACTGACCATCATGGAACCTAAAGGCTGATCATCATGGAACCTAGAGGCTGACCATTATGGAACCTAAAGGCTGACCATCATGGGGCATGGAGGCTGACCATTGTGAGACCTGGAGGCTGACCACCATGGAACCTACAGACTGACCACCATGGGACCTAAAGGCTGACCATAGTGGGACCTGGAGGCTGACCATCATGGAACCTGGAGGCTGACCATCATGGAACCTACAGACTGACCATCATGGACCCTAAAGGCTGACCACCATGGAACCTAAAGGCTGACCACCATGGAACCTAAAGGTTGACCATCATGGAACCTACAGATTGACTGTCATGGAACCTAAAGGCTGACCATCATGAAACCTAGAGGCTGACCATCATGGACTCTATTGGCTGACCATCATGAAACCTAAAGGCTGACCATCATGGAACCTAAAGGCTGACCATCATGGGACCTAAAGGCTGACCATCATGGGACCTAAAGGCTGACCATCATGGGACCTAAAGGCTGACCCTCATGGGACCTAAAGGCTGACCCTCATGGACTCTATAGGCTGACCCTCATGGACATGGGATTATAACCATCATGGACATGGGACTATAACCATCATGGACCTGGGAATATAACCATCATGCACCTGGGAGGATGATCACTGTGTATAGCACTGACAGGTTCCTGTCTTATGAATTCTAGTTGGATTTGAAAGGAAAGCACTGGGAGGGCCTAAGACTAACAAACAGAAGCACTTCCTGTCCAGCCAGGCTGAGGTGGTTGGTCAGCAGCTGACTCTGTCACACGCGCTTGTCTCCTCTTCTAAGAATTGCTGAGCACAGAGCCCTTGTCAGGCCGTGGTGACTGTCCCTTCCCTTGCCTTTCGCTCCACGGCCCTCAACTAGCCTGGTTTGTTACATTCATGCCTCTGAGAACAGTTCTGGGATCAGTCTCCTCAAGTCATGCACCTGAATGAAGGTACTTCTGAATCTCGATGGACACAGCATCAAGGGTCATTCCGTGTGAAAAATTCAATTCCAGAACACCAAGGCTCTAGAGAGGCTGTAGTGGGCACTGTAAACTCCTTACTGTCCTGGGAAGAGATAGCAGCTCACTAAGAAGGGGCGCTCTACAGAGCTACTGCCAGAAAACCTGTGGCCAAGGCCCAGGGCTGAAGTCTTCTTGCCACAGGAACACTCTCACCATGGTCCCAAGCAGCATGAGTCACATCCATGAGCACTCCAGCATTCCTGTCTTCACTCTCCCATCAGACAAGGCTGCGAGATGCCATGTGTATTCACTCATCGCCTTCTGGTCTCCAGATCTCCCAGTGACACAGATGAGGAAACCCAGTGCCTACCTACAGTGCTATCATCAACCACATGGCCCGGGGAATGTGTGACAGGCAGGCTTCTCACCTGGATCTGACAACAGAGCTATATTTAAACCACCTTGCCTTGGGCTAAGCCCAACCCCATCATGTGGGCTAATCTAAAATCAAAGTAGAGTTCCGGAGGCCGGACCAAATGGCAAAGGGTGTCCTGACTGTGACGGCCGTGCAAGGGCAGGAAGGGGTAGGGGGTTACCAGACTACGGCTAACATGGGTCCCTTCGTGACCAGTAAGCCAGAGGCTCTTTCTCTCATGAAGGAGGCCCCGGGGAAATGGGCCAAGTGCTGAGAGTTGGAGCTGCTCTCAGGGGTCCCTGAGCAACGGTCACAGGCAGCCCTAAGGTCCAGGAGCATGCTGAAGTCCAGACTCAGAACTAGGAAGTTGTAAAGTTCACTGCAACTATTGACCCATAAAGTCAGGAGCACTCAGGGATGACTGTCCCCAGATCTGACCTTCCACCCCAGGGAAGCGCAGAGATGCATGCAGGTACTCTGACAGCCTCCTGTAGCCAGGGTGCAGCAAGGATGCCTACCTAAGCAATTCTGACAGTGGAGGCGCTGCATAAGCATTCATCACCTTCAGGGAAATGCAAATCAAAACCACAATGACATATCACCCAAGCCCGGGTGGCAGAGCGGTTACTGAAGACACAGAAGATAACACAGGATGGCTGAGAAAACCCCGCAGTGGGGCTCTGTTAGAGAAATGTTCACCGTCGGAGCTATTACAGAACACAGGTAGATCCACTGTGTGATCTAGATATCCTATTACTGAGAGTAAAGTCAACAAAGATAAAGTCAGGACTTCTGTCTTATTGCATCACTGTTCACAATGGCCAGTACATGGGACCAACAGGTGTCCATCCATAGATGAATGGCTGAAGAAAAATCCCTCCCTCCCTCCCTCCCCCCCACCTCTCTCTCTCTCTCTCTCTCTCTCTCTCTCTCTCTCTCACACACACACACACACACACACACACACAAGGTTAGTATAGTATTCTGTCATAAAAAGAATGAAGTCTTTTCATTTGCAGCAACAGCAACATGGATGGAACTAGCTACACTAGGGATATCATGTTCAGCCAGGCGCAGAAAGACAGATGTGGCATGATCTCTTTCACGTGTGGAAAGAAAAGAAAATGTTGGTTTTCCAGAAGTAGAGGGAAGAGTGGCCACTAGAGGCTTAGGAGGGTATGAGGAATAGAGACAAAGAGAAGAAGATAAGCAGTACCAAAATAGAGTCCACCACAGGGTTAAATTCCAGTGTTGTACGGCAAGCAGGGCGACAGCAATCTACAATTGATTATACATTTTATAAGGAACTAGAAGACAGGATTTGAAAGTTCCTAACATAAAGGAATGTTAATTAACCTAATTTGATCATTTTACACTGTATTTATGAACGAATGCTCAAATTGTATTCCATAAATATCTATGACTAAAAAAATAAAATGAACCTGGGAATGGTGGCACGTTCTTTTAGTACCAATCTTTAGGAAGCAGAGAGGAAGGTGGGTCTCTGTGAGTCTGAAGCCAGCGTGGTCTGCATAATGAGTTCCAGGTCAGTGGGGCTATGGTGACACTGTGCCTAAGAAAAAGAAAATCCCTGAGCAGTGGCAAGTGCTTGGAGTCCTGGCTGCTGAAGAGACTGAGGCAGAAGATCCCATGAGCTTCAGAGTTCAAGCAAGTGGAGCTAACAGACCACTAAAAAAAAAAAAAAATCTAAAAAATAGTAATAATTTTAAGTGACAAAAAGTTTTAACGAATTATACATAGCAGAGATTCTTGCCTATTGTTCATATGATAAAATCACTACTTGCTTAATAAAGAAAAGCTGGAAGTAGTGGAAAAAAGAAAATCAACCTTTCAGGCATATTGCCATGCTGCCCACGACAGGGGACAGTCTGGGACAGCGAGGTCTGGAAGAGAGATGGCTGTCTTTCCTGGGTCTGGCAGACAGCCCATCAAGGAAGCACTACCACATCCCGTCGGGGCTCACACCCACAGCCGGGCTTGCTGCCTGTTGGTCCCTGAGGATCCTGGAAGCAACAGGGGACCAGACCCTGACTCACAGCCAGCACAGCACGCTTGGCCCTCCCTCAGCACGGTTGCTGGCTGTGCCCTCTGAGGCAAACTGTGCTGTTCTCTCATCGGTAAGAGAACAGGCAGACGGGTCAGGGCAGCTTTGCATTTCCCACGATGCTCTGTCTTATGGCTGAGTTTCTGCTTGGGAATAAAGCTGAATGAAGCACGCGCTTGTGAAGAGAGCTGGGTGCTCAGGCCTCTCCCTGCTCCGCCTCACCTCGGGCCTTGCAGTCACATGATGCTCGCAGCAGCTTCTTAGCCTCAGGTTCCCGAGAGTCTCAAGTACCAGGCAAGCAGAGCCAGAAGCCCCTCGTAGGGAGCCCTAGGCCTGAAGGGACCTACAAGACCTCCTCCCCAACCATGCTTCACACCTCTCCTCCGGGACCCTTGAGGTTTTTTTTTTTTTTTTT